CTTGGATACTACTCACTACGCTACCCTGTCATGCATTTACATTGATATGCCCTACTCACTATTCTTCAATTAAATGTATGACATCCACCCTGAGCTTGCCTTGCTTTGCTTGACTGGTCTTGTGACCCCTTGTTCTCCCCCACTTTGCCTATGGGGGTGTGTCAGGCATATATGCTATAGTCTGTGTAGGCTGTAGTGGGGCAGTTCATATGGGGTACAACACTTTAGGGTTTACTACTTGTACTCCTCATGCTGCTCAATGCATTCATTCTCGTTTCTTATCAGTGCTGGCCAAAACCTGGCCGAGATCTACGCGCCACTGTAGCAGAAAAAGCGGGCGTAACCTCTGGTTCTCAAACTGCGCGGAAAAAGGGAAATTAAGACCATACGCCACTCCATTAACAGACCACAAGGGAAACAACCGATTTCACCTAGCTACACGCGCTGAATTTCCCAAAACTACCGTAATTTTTCCAGACATTTTTTTGATATATTTGTACCGGTGAATCCGCGAATAAAACTCTGCAATGGTGACTTGGCAACGGTCACTCCGCACCTACATATAAGGCCGACGCATGAACGAGGCCTCAATGGTAAGCACTTTCTGTGAGAATTAAGGAATGAATGAACTAGCAAGCAGGTGGGTACAAGTATGAAAACCTAGAAGTGTTGTACCCCATATTGTCTACCCCACTACAGCCTACACAGACTATAGAATAGGATATAAGTTTGACACACCCCCATAGGCAAAGTGGTGGAGAGCAAGAGGTCACAAGACCAGTCAAGTAAAGCAAAGCAAGCTCAGGGTGGATCACAAAGTCACCACACACTCCGAGCTCAAGAGCAAGGCCAAAAGGCCAGTTCACATGCAAGATCATATATAAAGGTGAACAAGCAAGTGCAGGTATAGAACGATCACAATACGAGCAAGGTCAAGAAGTGAGCAAGTGAGGCCAAGTAGGCACAAGACCTAACATCGTACAGAAGCGCTGATGATCACAAGGCGGAAGTGCCTTGGTGAAGATATCAGCAGTGTTGGCCTCAGAGGCCACGTAAGCTAGGCGCAGCTGACCACGCTGCTGCAGCTCACGAGCAAGGAAGTAGCGAAGAGCAATGTGCTTCGATCTGTGCTCCAGTCTATGCTCCCGACACAAGGCCAGCATGGCCTTGTTGTCTACGTACAAAACTGGAGGAGAACGAGGCGGCTCTCCTAGGTCAGTCAGCGTAGCTCCTGTGCAGCCATGGCCCCCGCGTAGATCTCAGCCTCACAGCTGGAGGTGAGAACAGAAAACGAGCGGGTAGACTACCACGAAACAGAGCCGGAGCCAAGGCTGAAGGTGTAACCCTGTGACGACCGCTACAGAGCCTGGTCGTCAGCCCAAGAAGCGTCTGCGTGACCTGTGAGGACCACTGGACGTCGCCCTCCAAGCACTAGCCCCATGCCCGACGTACTGCACAAGTAGCGCAACACCCTCTTCGCTGCAGCCATGTGCTCTGGTCGGTGTCTCCCAGGAGCAACATAGCGTGCCAAGATGCTAAGAGGGTATGCAAGGTCAGGTCGAGTGCAGGTCATCAGGTACATGAGGCAGCCAACAAGCTCTGGGTACGGGCCACTCGGCTCTACGGACTCATCCAAAGGCAGAGCTGAGAGCGAGTGGCGAGTAGACAGCGGAGTGGCCTGAGGCGAGGAGTACGTGAAGTCGAAGCGCTGAAGGACCTGCTGCACCATGTGTGACTGAGTCAGGGTAATGGTGCGCTGTGCTCTGTCCCGGGTGATCTGCAAGCCAAGGTAGCTGCGCAGTTCACCCAGGTCTGTGCACGTGTGTCTCTTCTGCAGCTCGGACTTCACGTGGGCGAGTCCAGCAGTGTCAGCAGTGGCAAAGACCAAGTCGTCGACGTACACGAGGATGTAGAACGGCGGCAAAGAGGTGTCGGAGCGCAGAAACAGCGACGGGTCGGCAGTAGAAGGAGCAAACCCAAGAGCCGCAAGTGTAGTCCTCAGTGTGTCGTGCCACTGACGGGGCGCCTGGCGGAGACCGTAGATTGGCCGCCGGAGGCTCCACTGGGTACCAGGAGGAAACAACCCAGTGAAACCAGGTGGGCGGCGCAGCCAGATCTCCTCGTGCAGGCCGCCCTGCAGGAAAGCTGTGGTGAAGTCAAGAGAGTGAAGCTCGTAGTCGCGCTGAGCGGCTATGTGCAGCAGCACCCGAAGAGTGGTCATCTTTGGGGTGGGAGAGAAGGTCGGAAAGTAGTCAACTCCCTGCCGCTGACTGAAGCCTCGAGCCACGTAACGCGCCTTGAAGACAGGCGGAGATCCGGGCGGCCGCTTCACCCTGAAAATCCACATGCCACTGACAATGTTCGCCCCAGGTGGGGGAACCTCGTCGACGTAGGTGCCTGTGGACTTCCAGGAAGCCATCTCTGCATCCATGGCTGACTGCCTCTGAGAGGAGTAGGGACCCTCGATCGCCTCAGCGTACGATTGAGGAGTCGGGATGTCTGGTGCATCTGGGTCTCCGTCAGGGGCAATCAGCGTGGACACGAGATGAGGCAAAGCAGTAGCAAAACACTAGAACTCCTCCTGCCTGTCCTCAAGGACGTCCGTGCTAAGAGCACACTCACCCCCGACGGACGGAGGACAGACAGACTCAGACTGAGCAACAAGGCTAGCGACATAGTCTAGACGTTAGCGAGCCGCAAAGTCGACAAGCTCAGCAACCAAGGCAGACGCAGCAAAGGACTCAAAGGAAGGGTCAGTGACCACAGTGGCCAGGAGATGCGTGATAGTAGGACTGGCAGTACGAAGAGAGTCAAACTAAGGGTCTGCAAGAACAGGAAGAGAGGACTCTGGAGGAGACGGCAACGGGACACGCAGAGGAGCAGTGGAAGGACGCAGTGCCATCTGGTGTGTGGCTGGGACCGCGGGGGGACGCGGACGCGGAACTCGAAGACTAGTGCAAGCAGCACGAACAGGCGACGCAGGACGAGACGCAGGCTCACGACGCTCAGCAAGACCTCCAGTAGGACCAGTGTAGGGAGAAGGAGCAGGTAGGGGGGAGGAGGGCGGTAACTGTGACTGCGACTGGACAGGCTGTGGACACTCTAAGGGAGGAGCAGGACCAGTAGTGGGCGGGAGACCAAGAACCTGCTCAAGGAGCGGAACGAAGTACGGCCGCGGCCGCGCAGCACCTCTAGAACCAGTAAGGACAGCACCAGTACCCCCAGCGGCAGCACCAGCGCCAGCAGCACCTCCAGCTCCAACAGCGCCAACTCCAGCACCCTCAGACGGACCAGCGCCAGCAGAAACACCAACAACAACACCTCCAGCAGCTCCAGCTCCAGCAGCTCCAGCAGCACCAACTGCTGCAGGACCGGCAGCTCCAGTACCGCCAGCAGCTCCAGGAAGACCAACTCCAGCAGCCCCAGCAGCACCCCCAGCCCCAGCAGCTCCAGTACCGCCAGTACGAGCACCTCCGGGACCAGCAGCAACAATAGTTCCTCAAGCTCTAGCAGCACGGCTCCAGCGCCGGGCAAACCACTCGCGCAGCTCCTGTGGAGAGAGTGGCTCCCGCCTCGACGAAGCACCGCCGGCAGCCACACGAGCAGACCCAGCGCCCCCAGGCCCGCACCCCCAGGCTCCGCACCCCCAGACTTAGCACCCCCAGGCTCAGAACCCCCAGACTCAGCACCCCCAGGCTCAGCACCCCCAGACTTAGCACCCCCAGTCTCAGCACCCCCAGACTCAGCACCTCCAGACTCGGCACCCGCAGGCTTAGCAGCTCTAACAACACCAGAGTCAACAGCTACCTCGACAGGCTCGATTGCGTCTACCTGGGACACACCTGACGGGGCAGGACCCTGAGGGGGGAGGGGGTCTACCGGGGGAGGACCTGGTGCAAGGAAGAGCGGCGGCGGGGGGAGGGGCGCAGTGCGGTAGGGGAAGAGACGGTAGTAAGGCACCGACTCGTCAAAGGTGACGTCCTGGGAGGACAGAACACGGCGCGAGGTGGGGTGGTAAAAGTGCCAATCTTGCGCGTCAGGGGGGAAGCCAAGGAAGACGCAGGGAACAGCACGGAGGGACAGCTTGTCCGCAGACAAGTCGCGGACAAACGCCCGAGATCCCCAGATCCGAAACGCAGACGCATCGCCAACCTTCCCTGTCCACCGCAAGGTGGGGGAGGTCTCTGGCAAGGAGACGTGGGGCTAAAGGTTGAGCTGATGTGCTGCATACTGAACCGCAAACTCAGGACCAGACCTGAACGAGCAGGGAGCAGACTCAGGACCAGACCTGGACGCTGCAGCAAACACCTGACTCCACGCAGCTACCTGGCCAGACTCAACAGCCAGAGGAGACTCAGTAGTAAGGGTGTACAGGCTCGACCCTGGCCGACGGGTGAACGTGGCCAAGTGTCGGCCTGTCCGAGCACACGTGCAGTGGGTCACCCGCTGACTCGCAGGAGTGAACTGGTCAACCCCCCTATCCTGTAGGTCCGCTCCACTCACCAAGTTCGTAGAGAACGAGGGGAGGTAGAGACCTGACAGGGTGCCAGAGGGGGCTGCCGGGCACGGTAAGACAGTGGAGAAGCTAGCAAGGACAGGACCCCCAGAGGAGTCCGCCAGGGAGATTGCAACCGGCCGACTGAGCGGCGTAAGCGTCGTGCAGTCTCGAAAGAAGGAGCGGGACGCACCCGAGTCAAGGGTGAAGGTGTGTAAGGCCTGAGCCGACGTAGTACCTGAGAGAGCAGACTCACCAGCACCTGGGGCAGCAGACGCACTAGCACCTAGAGCAGCAGCCTCACCAGCACCTAGAGCAGTAGCCTCAATGCCCGGGTCAGGCGGTACACACAGGTAACAGTCACCCTCAACACCAATAGTCACAGCATACATGGCAGCAAGGATAGCATCATAGTCAAGATCAAAGATGGCAACCCCCGCCCTAGACAGATCTCCCCAGCGAGGGATCTCTGACGCCTCAGGGAACTGGTGACGCTATGCGTCCGTCAGGCGGCCGAACCAGCGCTGGGTGGAGTGCGGGCCCCCGCACTGCTCACCAGCGCGGTCGCCGGTACGGAGGACGTAGGTGCAGGAACCAGTACCCCCACCGTGCTGACGAAGCTGCTGAGGGGACAGGGTCTCATGACCGCGCTGCTGCTGCTAGTGCGGACCACCACCGGACCCACTCCTCTGCGCAGAGTCGCGACCAGCTCCACTGCCGCCGCCGCCACCGCCTCCGCCGCCTCCGCCATCTCCGCCGCCTTCGCCAACTCCGCCGCCTCCGCTCCCTCCGCCACCACCGCCGCCTCCGCCGCCTCCACTGCTGCCACCGCCGCCGCCACCCCCGCCACCACTCCCACCACCACCCCCACCCCCTCCACTGTCTCCACCACCACCTCCACCGCCCCCGCTTGCTCCTCCAGCTCCCTTGCCTCCCTTGCCCTTGCCGGTGCGGCGTCTCCTGCTAGGGGCAGACGCAGCGCCGACCCCGTAGAGACCAACGAGGTCGGCAGCAGCAGCAGAAGCAACAGAGGGCAAGAGGGGGGAGGGGGAACACCCCTCAAAGACGGGGGTGCGAGGGTCACCACTAGAGGCTCCTACAGCGACTATGCTCTTCTCTGCTGCTAGGAGGCACTCCTCGAGGAGGTCAACGGTGAGAGTGGTGGGGCAAACTGAGAGGAAGTGGTCCCTGACTAAGCAAAGAGAGTCAGGGAGCCAGGTGACTATGTCGTAGAGGGTGATGTACATAGGGGGGGGTTCTTGGCGCAGAACTCTAGTGCGGTAGCGAGTGTCACTAGTGCGGAGGTGCGTAATGAGGTCAGCGACTGTGGGAAAGGCAGCAAGGTCAGGGAAGAGGTACGGTAGCATGAGGCGGCTCAGTGCACCAGTGGCAAGGGAAGAGTAGTGTGCAACTACAGCGTCGTACAAGGTATGAGCACTCTTGTACTGGCTAAAGTGTGCACGCTCAGTGGTCGGTAAGTGGCGACGCACAGCAAGACGGGTAGCAGCATCGCGTGTCGCCCACTGTGAGCGAACAGTGCTGTCAGCAGTAGCAAGCGGGGCAGGGGAGGCACCAGAGGTGAGGTCAAACAGAGAGAGGCCGTCTGCCCTATTGCACTGGAGGAACAGCTGGAGGTCATCGACCCAGACCTCAAAGTCAAGAGCACGGCCCTCAATGTCAAAGGTAAGAACACTGGGGGTAGCCATGACTGCAGAGGTCTAGCAAGGAGTGGGCTCACCTGTACGAGTAAGTAGGGCCGGGGCGCGTCGGTAGGACTGGTAGCGGCTCAGTGGCTCGGCTGCTGGGCGGCTCGGCGGTCGGGCGGCTCGGCGGTTCGGCTGCTGGGCGGCTCGGCGGCTCGGCTGCTGGGTGGCTCGGCGGCTCGGCTGCTGGGCGGCTTGGCTGTCGGGCGGCTCGGCTGTCGGGCGGCTCGGCGGCTAGGCGACTCGGCTGCTGGGCGGCTCGGCGGCTCGGCTGCTGGGCGGCTCGGCTGTCGGGCGGCTCGGCGGCTAGGCGGCTTGGCTGCTGGGCGGCTCGGCGGCTCTGGTGTTGGGCGACTCGGCGGCTCTGCTACTGGGCGGTGTCGAGGCCGCGTAGGAGGCCGCGTCGGGGCCGCTTAGGGGCGGCGACGGGGCCGCTTAGGAGCGGTAGCGGGGCCGCTGAGGGGCGGCGACGAGGCCGCAAGAGGGCGGCGACGGGGGCCGCTAGAGGGCGGCGACGCGGCCGCGAGAGGGCGGCGACGAGGCCGCGAGGGGGGGCTGCAGGGCCGCGACGGGCGGCGACGGGGCTGCGAACGGCGGTGACGGGGCCGCGAGAGGGAGGCGATGGGGCCTCGAGAGGGCGGCGACGGGGCCGCGATAGGGCGGCATCGGGGCCGCGATAGGGCGGCGACAGGGCCGCGATAGGGTGGCAACGGGGCCGCGAGAGGGCGGCGACGGGGCCGCGATAGGGCGGCGACGGGGCCGTGGAGGAGGGGCCGATGAGGGCGGCGCGACGAGCCGCTAGGAGGGCGGCGACGGGGTCGCGAGGGGCCGTGAGAGAGGGGGAGGGCCGCTAAGGGCGGCACGACCGGTCGCTAAGGGGAGGGCGGCACACAGGGCGCGCCTCGGTCAGGGGCGACTCGATATCAGGGCAGGAAAAAAAAAATCGATGTTCAGTGGTGGGCCCTAGGAAGTTCCCACTAGGGAACCTGCTCTATACCATGTGAGAATTGAGGAATGAATGAACTAGAAAGGAGATGGGTACAAGTAGGAAAACCTTGAAGTTTTGTACCCCATATTGCCTACCCCACTACAGCCTACACAGACTATAGCATAGGATATAAGTTTGACACTTTGATGCCGAGAAGCGGGCGGATCACCGTTATATGTACGGCTCCTGTGTACCGGTCATCTTAGGGCGCGTTTCTTTGATGGTCAAAGTTCGAAAAACTGGTCAAGCATAAAGTGGTATCCTGTCTCGCGAATCTCGTTGAGTATGGATGGCGATGTTCGTCTTTATTAGACCGAATCAAGGAAACAAACTTGGACATTGAACAGGTCGAGCTTTCAGTTGAGTATTGCACACGTTCGACAATGTGCGAAACAAAAAACATCATGGTGTACTAAAACCACTCGTGGTTGCACTCGTGATACTCGTGGAAAATTTGGCAATATGGTGTGGCTCCACTTTGTTGCTACCTTCCTTATTTTCGCTAGTGTTGTACTGGCGAATTTCGCACCTAGACCCCTCGGCAAATCCCGAAATGTGTGTGTAAATGTGCTTTGCTTAGGTGCGTGGTGAGTGCTGCACACGAACCCGGACACGTCAATAAACGTCTGCCAGAAACGAACCCAGAAGTGACTGTCTGGCTGGCTTGTCAATGCACATGTTACAGGGTGTTATCGGGTAACAGTATCCAAAAATGAATGTGTCAGATGTGCATTGGTGATCCCCGATTGATCATAGGGAAGGGCTACAGGCACGTTGGCCTGGGGGGTTATGGGCGCACTCACCCGCTACACAAAAAAAGCCCTTTTTATCCCAGTGCTTAGTGACAAGGATTCTGACATGGTATCAGAGCGAAGGTCTCGGGTTCGAATCCCAGTGTGTGCACTTCGGGCATCCCAGTGCGGGGGGGTGTCAGAGGTGCACTGGTGATCCCCGATTGATCCTAGGGAAGGGCTACAAGCACGTTGGTTTGGGGGGTTATGGGCGCACTCACCCGCTACACAAAAAAGCCCTTATTTTCCAGTGGTTAGTGACTGGGATTCTAACATGGTATCAGAGCGAAGGTCTCGGGTTCGAATCCCAGTGTGTGCTCTTTAGGCATCCCAGTGCGGGGGGGTGTCAGAGGTGCACTGGTGATCCCCGATTGATCCTGGGGAAGGGCTACAGGCACGTTGGCCTAGGGGGTTATGGGCACACTCACCCGCTACACAAAATAGCCCTTTTTATTCCAGTGGTTAGTGACTGGGATTCTGACAGAATTCACTTCCGCCAAGCAAGACACGCCCTAAACAAGATATGGATATTCCTGTCGAGGCCCGATTTCACTTGGAAGCTCACTTACCGGAAGAGAAGGTTGGAGGAGATAAGTGGTGATTGGTCCACAATAGTGGACAACCACCCACTAAAAGACAAGCATGGTTAGGAACCAACCCAACCTCCACATTGGTTGGAATTCCAACCAATAGCAATTGAACATTTATGTTACAAGTTACAACATGTAACAAGACAATCCTTATCACAATTGTGTTGCTCCCATTGGTAGCAAATCCAATCATTGTGCCACCTAAACAAACTCACACCTAGGAGCTCCTTGCCCTTGTTGCCATGGAGGAAGTGGAGGTCCCGAAGGAGGTCTAGGAGGGGGTGTGAGCTAACCAGGCTCATTCTCAACTCCCAACTTCCAATTAACCAAAATGGAAATGGGATTTCTCTCCAAGGACAAGACTTTCCCCTCAGAAGTGCTTCAACTACTCTCTTGGTGAAGCTACTCCATCACTCTCAAAGCTTTAACTACCAAGCCTTCAAGACTCAAGGCTAGCATAGAGACTAGTTTATCTCGTATGGGCTTGTTGTTAGCGTTTTATAAGCCTAATATAGACCCTTTTGTGGGCATTAGTTATAAGCCCAGGTCTTTATTGTACTTTAAGGGCGTTCCTTTATAAGCCAATGTTACATTTGGTATTCAGAGTTTTGGTTATCCTTGGCCCTGTGTGGCTAACTAGATAGGAGCTACTAGATCTTAGATCTAAAATAGCCTCAAAGCTCTTCTAAGAAGAGTTGAGAGACTCCAAAGATCAAGAAATCTTCGTCAAGGATCCCAAGATCTAAAAGCTTTTTGAGCCGAAAGAGAATTTATTCTCTGCCCACCTTTTTGGTGGAAGACTCATAGCTATTTTTAAATCAGCAGAGTGATACAGATCTAAGAGATCTGTTGAAAGATCCCTCTTAACTTGCTCTTTGAGCAGTTTGGGAAACTTTCTCTATTTCTTTCTTGAAATAGAATATTTATTTAACAACTCTTTTTATGTACCTTTCTCTATGTGAAAATATTGATCCATATAAAAGATTTCTGAAAATTTTCAGAATCTCTTGCTTATCACCTTGAGTGATAGAGGACCCTTGTTAAGATCATATTTCTTCGCAAAGAAGAACCACTCTCCTTAAGCTCCATCTGAACAACTCCTCTATGGCTACTTCTCATGAGGGACCACTAAAGGAGGATGTCCCTATGACCTCAGTTGAGGAACTGGAAGACTTTCCTGACCTTGACCTTAATGCTGGGGACATCATGGGGGACTTTCTTCAGGAAGAAGAAGAAGCACTGGGAAACCAAGAAGAGATTGGAGAACAGGAAGGGCTTGATGACCTCAGCACGGATGACAACTTTCCAGAGGAGTTTGAAAAACTTCAATCCACGGTGGCTGAGCAAGCATCTTCCTTGCTGCAGCAGAAACGCCGAATCAATGAGCTTGAGACTCAGATTGTTGAGGAGAATGCATCAATTGACATGGTCAAAGCTCAGCTTAACAAAATCAGTGTCGAGGCTCGTCAGTTTAGGAGGTCTCTTGGCCTCAAGGCCAACCATATCAAGAGCCTTGAGGATAATTTGCAGCAGCTCAATGCTGCATGCATTAACATTGAATTGGCCTGCACGATGCTGCAAGCGCAGAATAGGGTGTCAAAGTATATATATATGCTATATATGTTTAGGCTGTAGTGGGGTAGCCAATATGGGGTACAGCCCCTTTTAGGGTTTCATACTTGTACCCAACCCTTTCATAGTTCATTCATTCCTGCTGCTAGTTTCTAACATGGTTTCAGAGCACTAGGTCCGTAGGACTGTCTTTTTTTTTTCGGGCCCACCTACCGTTGCGGTTACCACGCTACCCCACGTGTTGCCTGCCTTGCCTTGTGGCGTGCTGCGCTGCGCGCGCCGTCATGCAGCCCTCGCACTGCCTACTGCTGCCCTAGGCCAGTGCGCCGCCCCTACAGGCCCGTAAGGCCCGCGCGCCGCCCCTGCAGACTCGTACGGCCCGCACGTCGCCCCTGCAGGCCCGTCAGGCCCGCGAGCCTCCCCTGCAGGCCCGTCAGGCCCGCGAGCCGCCCCTGCAGGCCCGACAGGCCCGTGAGCCGCCCCTGCAGGCCCGTCAGGCCAGAGCGCCGCCCCTCCTTGCGGCCACGACCTGCCACTGACGCGGCCCCACCTGGCCCCGCCCTGCAGCAGCTCGCGCGCGGCTCGTTGCTGCTCCGCGCGCCGCGTCCGCAGCCCATGCTGCGTGCTGCAGCCCCGCGCGTAGCACTGCAGCCCCGCGCGTTGTGCTGCAGCCTCGCGCGTCGCGCTGCAGCCCTGCGCGTCGCGTCACCTGCCCGCACGTCATGCTGCAGCCCCGCGCGCTGCGACTGCCATCCTCGCGCAGCCCGCAGCGGCTTCGCGCGCCGCGCCCACAGCTCGCGTTGTGCGCTTCAGGCCCGCGCGCCACGGCTGCCCCTGTTCGTCGCGGCGCCCCCCCCCTTGGACGCCGCCCCTGCCTGACTTCCGCAGTCACTCCTACAGCAGCTGCTGCGGAGCGCCTTGCCACAGTCGCGGCCCCGCCCTGCAGCAGCTGCCGCGGAGCCTTCTGCCGCCGTCACAGCCCCGCCTTGCAGCAGCTGCCGCGGAGCCTCCTGCACCTGTCACGGCCCCGCCCTGCAGCAGCTATCGCGGCCCTGCTCTACC